ACCGGGCCGGCCCGGTCGTGGATTTCTTGATTAGTTCCCAGTGGAGAACTTTCAGGTGGAATTGGATTGCCACGTGTCTGTTGTGAAAGCCTCTCTCACTTGTGTCGTGTGTCTTCCAGAGATGTGCTACATCAGAATTTTGAGAGTTATAAGCCTGAAGTGCAGGAACTGATCTGTGCGGCTGATCGTCTGGGATCACTGATGCAGTACGAGACGCCTGGTTTCCTGCCAAACAAGAGGATACACAGAGGTATTCTGGGAACTTTCTGAAACTGGAAATATTTCTGGCATCACAGTAAGGATGGTTAGACCGTGTTGTGCTTTTTAAAATATTTTTTATTGTGCTTACTCGCCATGTGATCAGAACAGAAATATGTGGAACCATTCACCCTGAGTTCTGAAAGAGGAAGCTTCCAGGCTTGGCTTTTTGCTGTTGCTGTAGTGTAGATTCAGAATGTAGGTCCTTACCATGGATCGGACAGCTGATCCAGGGAGCTGTGTCCTCACTACAGGAGCGAGGCAGGGTTTGGACCTCCAGTTGCTTCAGTAGGGGCAGAGTGGGGGGGATACAACTTGGGGTGTCCCTAGTTCCCTCTGATGGGTTTTCATTTTAGCAGGACCATCATGACAGAAGCGTGCTGTCCTTCTGATTCTTTATGTGGTGGCCCTTGAGTTATCCCTGGGACCGTGTACAGTGGGTGCACACCAGTCCTCTAGCGTGCGCGTACCAACCCTGCTTTCTCACCGTTCTCTCCTGCAGCCATGGGCCTGGCAGCTTTGGAAGTCATGCAAGCCGTACAACGTACGTGGACCAACTCAAAGGTCCGGATGAACGGGAAGACACGGCTGATGCAGTGGAGAGACATGTTCGACGTCGCGGTGAAGTGGCGGAGGTAATGGTGCTCCAGTGGAAATAGACGGGCTCGGCATTGCCAGATGCTCAGTCTTTTCTGGCTCACAGGTTTTGAACCCTGTTTTTTTTACTAATAACAGTCCCCCTAAATTAAGGTTTCCTCTCTAAAGTTTGCTAGAAATTGCTGGCATCTTTTTTCTTTGAAATACACTTGACTAGTATATATGAAATAGGAATCGATGGTCATGTTTCCAAGCACATGTTTAAATGAACTGTTTTAAGAAAAGCAATCTCTTTAAAAGAGCAGGTTATTACTGCAGTAGCCGTGAATGGACTGTAGTGGACCATCCCCTCATAGTTCAGCGTTTGCCTGGCTGACAGCTGCTCTAGACAATGGAGCCTCAGACACTCATTTTCATGAGAAGAACACTGCTCTCCTTAGAAACCTTTACTGGCTTTTTACTCGGTCCGTTTGGACCATATGTTTGGAATTTGCAAGGCTGTGCATCGTAGTTTTAGTTGTTGGACTAGCCTTACCCCCGCAAGGCTTCTACATGTTTTATTTTGAATGTTTTTGAACTCTTATAAGTTTTATAAAGTCTTCATCTTTAACAAGCTCTGTTTTGCAGGATTGCTGACCCAGATCAGCCTGTGCTGTGGTTAGACCAAATGCCAGCACGAAGTCTCAGCAGAGGTTTTAACAACCACATCAATTTAATCAGGTATGAAGCTGTTGTGCATCTTTCCTGTTTTCCCAGGAGTTTACTCTCAATAGACGGGCCGTGGAGACCACAAATGACCCAGGGCTCCTTGCCTGGTGGCTTTGACAAGGAAACGCACGGTTGGCCCTGCACCCGTGGTGTCGTACCTGTAGTCCTTTCTGCTCGTTCAGTGCAGGAGGAAATGCAGCACGTGCCACGCTTCTTCC